AAATGCAAACTGCATTTTAGGTCACTGACTTTTGCAAAACTCCTTCCAGGGTAAGGATACCTACATGAGGTGGTTTTGTGCAATGGCAGAAGTCAAAATAGTGCAGGTTTTAACATTGCTAACAGGACTTGTTATATGTTTACAAATAAATGTACAGTTACTTTTAAACCATATTGAAGAACAGAGGTGTCAGAATGCGCTACAGGGGTCACTGCTATATACAGCACTCCCACCACACGGACCCCGCCACCAACACCACCAGTTTTGGACGAGACTTGGTTGAACCTCCATTTGGTGGGACAACTTTAAAAATGAAGTGGTTGTTGCAGAAGAATGGCGAGAATGCATTTTCATGTGGGCAGAATTTTTTTAAAAACAGTACTTGTGTGGACTGTTTTTTTTTTTTAAATGAAGGAGGAAGACCCCCATTTTAAAAAAAATACCCATGTACATGTGCACTAGGCCTCAGTGTCATTTTGCTTCAGTGAAAAAGCATGCTAACGTGACTGGGTATCACCTCAGAGCAGCCAGCTCTGACTCTGATACTTTTTAGAGTAAAAAAGTTCTTCTCATCCCCATTTACAGCCAGGAAACAGGATCAGAGAATGAGGTAATCATCCTGGTTCAGTTTTAGGCCCCTTAAAATCCCAGGGTTATTACATACTAAGACTTATTATTCAATAACTACAGTGCAAACGGGCTGAGCTATTCTTAGGTTATAGAAGTGTGTAATAAAACTTTGGGCCCACATGGAGGGTCCTTGGCCAGTTAAGGGGTTATGTTTTACCCAATTTCCAGCTGGTAGAGCTGCTAAAAGTAATGTGAAACTCAGTGAATGCACTGTTAGCTTGCTGCTAACATAACAGCCATTAGCGTTATCATAGCAGATAAAATAAAGGCTACTTATGAAGTTATGTTGCCTTCATTCAACACTACAGTGAAAATGAACGGTGCTGGTCCAGGCTCATGATTAAAAGACAAAAAAATGTTCATGCAGTCCAGTTAATGGTGAAGTCATTGAATGTAACGGAACCAGAAAAACTTTTGTAGCACACAGGTTTGCCACTATTAACAACGACCACATTAGGGGCATAGAGTTTACCAGTATTTACTCAAGTATCTAATATGGAAAAAAATGTTATCTATCAATTGTAGTCGATCAGTCAAAGCATATTTGGTGTCCAAATTTTGCTTCATTATTTTAATGCTACACAGCTAACATTGCTAATTGGGAAAAAAGCAGAAAACATATATTAACAGACATATACATAAGTTATATATACACGGATATCTAAACATGAATATATACACACATATACTGTACATATATGTATTCAAATGTTTCAGTATTTAGTGTGTCCACATTTTCCCTTTATTACAGCTTCCATTCTCTCTTCAGAGACAGTAGAAGTTGGTTGCATTTTCTGCGTCTCGCTATCCAAGTAAGCACGATCACATTCAGTGATGTTGAGGTCTGGACTCTGGGCTGGTCAGTCCATTGTTCTGAGAACACCAGCAGCTTCTTTGTTTGATTTACATATTTTCTACTTTTTATCTATTCTCTTTTCTCAGTAAATTCATTTGGACAGCTACACATCCTTTTAGACTCATAGTGTGGAGTCTTCTCACAGTGGAAGGATGGACAGAAACACCTGTGGATTCTTACAGATCTGAACCAAGAGTGGAGCTTGATTTTCTCCTCTCTCTCTCAAAGATGAAAATGCTGTTTATCTGATGCTGACAGTTTTGGTGGTCTACCAGGTCTTGCATAGTTGCAAGTGGATTGTTATGATTCATTTTCTCTGTATCTTTTAATCATTTTTTGACCTCCAGTTTTGGAATCTCCTGTTTTTTCCATTTATTTTTCCTTTGACTTTCTTCTTTCATATGCAAGCGGACTGATTATCTTATATCTAATCTCATCAGAAATATCTCCTGAAAAATGAATAACTTGTACTTAATGGCTGTTTTGACTGGAAATGAAACAAATAAAGAGTGGTCTCTGACTACAACTTCTCTCAACCCACTCAGAAAACACGTCTTGGCTGATCGACTATATGTAGGGTAGGTGGAAAATTGTGGAAATTTGATTTTTCGCTGAGCTATTCTTTCAACCTTGTAGTTCTAACTTTAACTGTAAGGGGAAAATTGTTAAACTACATGTACATTATAGAGGTCTAAACCATATTACGCATTCAGAATGGGCTTGCCCATAAAACATACAGTTATATGTAACTGACTGAGATCTAATCTATGCCACAACTATTCAATGGGATCCCATTTCTTCTTTCTGGTACATAAAATTGGCATTGCAGGCCTCTACATCTGCCCCACCAATGCTTTCTGAGAATACAAATACGGTCATTTTTTTCCCTTCCTTGTCAAGAGATTGCCAGAGAATTTTGTGTGGAACAAGGCTGGAAGGGAGGAGCTCGCTGAGTCCCAACATCTGCAGTCAACTAATAAAAGAATTCGAGCCTCGCCGAGCGTTCCTCCCACATGAGCCGCCCATGGTTCCTCAGATAAAGCCTCACCCGCCGCTGCTGGCTGTGGGGAGGTGAGCGAGCGGTTTGGAGCTGGCTGCGTTCTGGGCTGACTCATGATCCACAGCGTTTCTGCGGTTTGCCGATGAGGCTGGCCCGTTGGCAGATGGTCCAGGGCAGGTCCTTCAGCCTCCTGCTTTCTGCCAGGTGTGGATGAGCTTCATGCACCTGCAATTAAATAACTGAGATCAGCCCGGATCCCACACCATTTTCCATATCAACACTCCTTAACTTAGCCCCATATTTAAATGTGTGTGGGAGATGCATTTGCATGAATGTCCTTGTAGTTAGGAGTGGTCATTATCTGTGGGCCGAAACATCCTCTGGGTCTACAAATCTGCTCTCAGACATGGATGGAAAACACACACATGCAGATGTACTTGCTAGCTTGTGTTATTCTAAAGCACGGACAGGACAGATCAAAATTCATTGTTGCAAAGCTAATCAGATGAAAAATGTTTACTTTCCTTCTATAGCAACATGACAGTGACACACCTTTCCCCAACTTAATCCCCCTATAAATAAAGGTGATTAATGATTAAATCTTTTTTGTTCATTTTATGCAACTATTATATTTAGTATACTTAAAGCTGCAATGTGTAAGTTTTGGGGATTTGGAGACCTCTCTGGTGGAAACGTGTAATTGCAGGAAGTGTGCAGAACATTTTGAATTCTCAGTTATGCCTTGGACCCCTTAACCAAGTGGATGAATTTGATGATGGTGAGGGCATTAAAAGAGTATTCAAAGAGAACTCAGTCATTACTTGGTGAAGGACGTGTCTTCCGAGGATGTAAGTGAACTATCTACTATTGTCATCATTTCTTCATCAGTATAATGTTGACTTTGACATTTGAGAGCTAAACATCAAGCCAGACCTGCGTTTTGAGTCTGTGCACTTGACGTTAAAAGGTAAAGACATATGACATGGCCTGAAAAACGACCTGACACCTCCGATTTTAAATGATTACTTCAGGCTTTACAGGGCGACTCGCAGCAGCCCATGAACACCATATTTTATTGGGTTTTTTCTCCTGGCTCAGTATTGCTATTTCTTTCAACTTTCAACAAGAACTCCAGCAGCACTGCTGTGTCTGATCCAAGCATACCAGCGCAACACACACTAATACACTACAACAGTGTTACTGCAGTGTTGAGAATGATCCACCACCCAATAATGCCTGCCCTGTGGGGGTCCTGATCATTGAATAACAGGGTAAAAGGGGCTCACAAAGTATGCACAGAAACATATGGACTAAAGTCTGTAATTGTAAAACTACAAAGTGCATCTATACGGTACGTAGAGCAGATAACATGGACAAAGAATGTCGATACAAGGAGACGTACTTAATGAAGTGGTCAGTCAGTGTACTTTCTCGAAATGATTTACTATGTCAAAATAATTACTTATTTTCTTGAAATAACGATTCACTACATTGAAATAATGACTTATTTTCTTTAAATAACAATTCACTATGTTGAAATAAGGACTTATTTTCTTGAAATAACAATTCACTATTTTGAAATAATGACATAGTATTTTGAAATAATTTTATACTTTGTCAAAATAATGATTTAGTAACTTGAAATAATGATTTATTATGTCGAAATTACATATTTTCTTGAAATAATGATTTACTACATCAAAATAATGACACTGTCTTGAAATAATGATCTACCATGTCAAAATAATAACTTTTTTCTTGAAAGAACGGTTTACTACGTCGAAATAACGACTTATTTTCTTGACACAATGATTTACCATGTCGAAATAATGACATATTTTCTTGAAATAACGATTTACTACATCAAAATAATAAAATAGTGTCTTAAAATAATAATTTACCATGTCAAAATAATGACTTAATTTCTTACAACAATTATTTACTACGTCGAAACAATGACTTATTTTCTTGAAATAACGATTTACTAGGTCTAAATAATGACTTAGTATCTCGAAATAATGACCTACTATGACTTCGTATCTCAAAATAATGACTAATTTCCTTTCATTTTCACTTTCCATGTCAAAGTAAAGACTTTTTATCCCAACATAATTACATACTTTCTTGTAGTTTCATATTTTTTTTACATAGTACATCGAAAAATAAGTCAATGTCAATGAAAATACAACATTATTTCGGGATACTACGTCCAGTTGATATACTCCTGTCACAAACAACGAAGAAGACAAAAACGTTTTTTTCTCTTTTACCTGGCGGGAATGCTTTCATACATACAACTCACCTTCCTCAGACTTTCAGAGCCGTCTCTGTGCGCAGTTCCAGGCTCGGTCAACAGAGGCTAATTCAGCACTATCATTGTTTCCTCCCCTCCTCTTTCCCTACGGTGAGGGCTGGACTCTCTCTCTCTCTCTCTCTCTCTCTCTCTCTCTCTCTCTCTCTCTCTGTCTCTCTCTCTCTCTCTCTCCTCACTCCAAAGCTCACTTTCTCCGGCTGTGTGACGTCAGCCGCCCGCCGTGGCTCTCCTCTAGCCGAGCCGTGGACTCCGCCGTGCTGCCCGAGAGAGAAAAACACCATGCTGCTCTCCGCGCCGCCCAGGACAGTGGCAGCGAACCCTCACCACCACCACCACCACCACCACGGCTACACGGGCAACAGGACCGCCAAAAAGGTGAGGAAAAAGGCGACGGGCGCTTTTTAAAAAGCCGTTAGCTTGCTTTTCCGAGCCGTGGAATAAAAAAAGCTCGGCCGGCGGAGGGCCAGGCTGTGTGAAGTGCTGGCGGAGTGTGTGTGAAGCTGCAGTGTCCTTGAGGAACCGAAGCCGTTACCGGAGCTTCGTTCAGCGGGACATCGAGGGGAACGGAGCCGGGAAACAGGGCTTTATCTCCCGCTTTAGCTGGTTAAGAGGTCCGTGGTTTGGTGCTTGACTTTATGAACCGTAACGTTTCGTAGCTGATTGTGAGCGGCTTATTTAGAGGCGGCTTCAGCGTGGAGCCTCAAAACGGACTGTTCAATTAGCATTTACCGTAAAAGCTGGTTAAAAAAGCAGAAAAAATGACTTTTTGAGCTTGAAGTAATTCGCCCCACCCCTCTAAATCTTCACTATGATAGGAAAACGTTGGTTTGTTGACCGGCTTGAAGAAAAAGAGATGTTTAAGTTGGGAATAGGGCAAAAATGTAACACCGTGTCCTGTTTCCATTTAATCCATTTAGAAACTGCTTTAAAGGCGTTTGTATAGCCGCGGTCACTGAGTGGTAATGAAATAAACCCGCCTTGTTTGGGAATAGGCTAACTCCCATGTTAATCTGGTTATGACTGAAGCGAAAAAGGGCTATTTGATTTTCTTCCCAGCCTTGTTTTTTTCCTCTTTCCAGAGAAGTGTATCTCTGTACACACTGATGGAACGGTTGTGCATAAGGCTTGTCACATGGGGTCAGCAATTTTGGCCAGAGCTGTTGGAAGTTCAGCTTGCGGTGAATAAGAGTGGGTCTGATGTGCGTTTTAAACATTTGGTGTCTGTTGGTTTGGCAGTTCTGGACAAAGTGGGCTGCTGCATTATCAGTGCAGAGTTGAATGTCCTGGCAAGGTCATCATCAGAGCTAATGACAGGAAAATAGCAATGTGGTGAATCTCTAAATCAAACTCCAGGATTAATTGATCAGCCATTGCAGAGGCATAATAAGTACAGGCCTGGAATGGATGAAGATCTTAGGGATTTTCTTTTAAAGCGTTTGACATGTGAGCCATTACAGAAGTGAAAAAAGTCATTTTCTCAGCTGAGGAAGCAAAGGAATATATATGAGTGTTGACACAATCCAGCTGGCTACACGTTTTCTTGTACCCTCTTAAAAAAGATGGTTCTTCAAGGGTTCTTTTAAAAGCAATGGTTGTATTTAGAACCATGAGTTCTATATAGAACCATTTCATGCTTAGATGATGCTTAAAATAGTTCTTTATAGCACCAAAAGGGTTCTTCTACACTCTTAAAAAAGATGGTTCTTCAAAGGTTCTTTAGTAATGAAAATGGTCTATATAGAACCATAAACACTCAAAGACACCTTGTATGATTAAAGGGTTCTTTACATTGCAAAAGCATTCTTCAGATTGTTGGAGAAGGTGTTGTAGTGTTTCTATACAGAACATTTTTGAAAAGCGTTCTATATAGTACCAGAAAGGGCTCTGTTTAGCGCCAGAAAGGGTTCTTCTGTTGTTATGACGTCAAGCTTGTTACAATAGAAGAACCCTTATTGATACTATGTAAAACCCTTTTCAGAAAGGTTCTACATAGAACCAACTACAGCGCATTCTCCATCAGTGTGAACCACCTTTTGACAATGTAAAGAACCCTTTAATCATGCAAATGGTTCTTTGAGTGTTCATGGTTCTATATAGAACCATTTTCTGTACTAAAACAATTTTTTTGTGTGTATTGTTACAAGCTTGACATCATAACAACAGAAGAACCCTTTTTGGTGCTGTATAGAATCATTTTCAAAAATATTCTATATAGAACCATATACAACACATTCTCCATCAATCTGAAGAACCATTTCACCATGCAAAGAACCATTTAAGCATAAAATAGAACAATTCCCTTCACTAAAGAACCCTTGAAGAACCATTTGTACACTGTACATGTAACTGGCTTTAATCATAAATAGTATGTTATTAGAGGTTGTTTCCTCCATGAAGCCGCCCAAAGAACCATGTTTCGGTGATGCGTTTGTCGACCTTTGCTCTGCAGAAAGTCCACAGAGTTCATCATAGAAGATGTGAAGGAGGGACAGGTGGACAATCGTGAACAGTTCCACTGTACCTGATATTGCGTATGTTAGAGGAGCAAGACAGTAACGCTCTTCACTTTAACTGGGAGCTGTGCTTCAGCTGTAGCTTTGAGAACATTAGTCTAACTGTTACTGCAGCTATGGCATCTGGGCAGCTATAACTCTGAGATATGGTGTCAGTATGTCTTTGGATGGTAACAGCTTCTGCTCTGGGGTAGTTTTGGGGTTAGTCCAACATAAGACTTGGTTGTGCACTCTCAGTATTGTTAAAGATCTCCAACAGCACTAGTGTGAAATGAGTACTGGAAGTATAAAAAATGCAACAAAGAGTTAATTCTTTCAATTTGCTGTGATACATAATTGGTGAGTTACATTTACATTCAGTTTACATTCTGTATTGACAGATTCAAGTCTGCACTGACTTTTTTCATTTGTTTTTGGTGTCAAGAAATGACAAAAATGTATTGATTGAAAGCTGGGAATCTACACTTTTGACAGAATGTAGCTCCGGTAGCTCATTTTAAATGAGACACAGGTGAGAAATATTTATTGAATTACACTAGACTGTTGTTACCAGCGGCACCTGCAAGGGTTAAAGGGGAATTCCACTGATTTTTCTGAAGTTTCTGCACAAATCGATCAGTGACATGATAAAGTCACTCAGAAACTTATCACCTCACATTTCTTTGCAGTGGCAGTGATAGGAACCAGAGGTCATGATGTCTTCAACATAAATAGAGCCATTTTATTGGTAATCCTAGCATTTGTCTTCCGAATGTTTATATGTAATGTTGATAATAGTAAAATGGCAATAAATATGAAATATTAAATAAAGTTTGCGTAATAGTTTGCATAATAATAATAATACCCTGCATTTGTATCTCTCCCTGGAATGGATGTTTAAAAAATACATTTTAGTCGTAAAACACTGTCTCAGGCATCAGGCAACATATTTGTAACCATTTTGTATAATAATTTTCTGTGAAGTAGCTGTTAGAGGCATTAAATGTTTCAGGCGTCTGGTTCCTATCACCACCGTTAAAACTGAATCTTATAACTGTTAAATTATGCATGAATTTTGAAAACTTGGTGAAATTCTCAAGTATTAATTCCTATAACCATCTTAAATCTAAAAGACTGAATAGCTTGTGTCTAATGGGGGACAGAGTACAGCTTTATGTTGCAGGAACACTGTGTAATCTTGCTACAATTCAAGATAACAGAAAAAAATACTTGCCACTGTTCTTTTCTGACATCTATTTGAAAAGAGCTTGTGGATGGGAATCTGTGTCACTTGAGTGAGTAAATAAAGCTGACTCATCATCTGACCGCACTAATGACGTCTTCTTCAAATTCACATATCACCGTAGACGACGTGATTGCTAATCCAGACATTACAAGTTACCCAGAGGACGTTGGCTGTGTAGAGGGAGAAGGGGCGCCTTTTATTGTGACAGGCAGAGAAGACGTGCATCCTCCTGAGGAGAGGACAACGGACGCAGTCAGAATCTTTTATTAGCCAAATACACTCTTACGTATGAGGAACTTGTTCTGATGAGGACTTACATTAAGACATGCAATAAAAAAAAATAGAATAAAAACACAGTATAAAAATGTGCAACCCAAGTGGAATAAAGAGCAGGAGATTGTTTAGCAGCCGTAGTAAGCATGCAGAATGTGCATTACAATGAAGCAGTAAGTGAATGGATAGATGAATGAATAGGATCGTTTAGCTGTGTGCTCTTGAGTACAGTATTGCATTAATTTATCAAAATACCTGAGGTCAATTAAAGCTCTCAAACTCTGCTCTTACTTATTAAAGTATTCTTTTTAAAGTCAACTGGAAATCAAAACAGACCTTGCTTACCTTTCCTAGTTTAAGAGGAAAAAAAAAAGTTTTCCTATTATCTGTGTTCAAAATGTAATGACTTTTGCCTGCCTATAAACCCTTTTCTGACTTTTGATTACATCACTGTGCACCAGAGGGTGGGGAAAAATATTAATCCATAGTATCGTGTTTCACTGCCCCTCTCTGTCCCTATTATCCAGCTCTGCTAGCTCAGAGACCCTCCCTGATACCATTCAGTGGTGAATATATAATGTTATGGAAGGAAAATGCATTGATTTTTCCATTCATGTTGACTCCAAGGCTTATCATCCAGTAACTGCTATGCATTATTTGTGAAACACCTGTGAAACTACTATGGAATTGGGTGCAAATATTTGACCAATTTTGATTCTTTGGGTCTTTTAAAATGAATCAGTGCACCATGACGTCGCAAATTGAAAAAAATAATTCTATATTATATATATATTATAATTATAACCATACGTGGAATAAACCATGTGTCTGGATGAGCTACTTACATAGTGGACCATAGGTAACAGAAGCAATACACCAAGCAAGTTTGTTTTTGAGGTTTCACTTTATTGAATATTATTTTGATCAGTTATAATCAATTCAAACATTGTAGTTGAATCAACCCCTTGAGGTCAAAGCATCACAATAGCCTCAATGCATATTTATATATTTGCAGCGTATCGCTCCAGATTTTTCAATACCAGTACCAAGACCTTGACTTTAATACCGAATTCCGAATGATGCTTTTTTCCAATACCTTCTTATAAATTACTAACTGAAAGTGAGTGTGGCTTAAAGCAGGAATGAGTTTGAGGTGCTGGAATTGGGTATATCTGCTTACCGCAGTGGATTGCAAACTAATTGCTGACATTAATTACATGCATACGGAATGTAATTTAGACAGACAATCAGCAGTCTGCATTTTGCACACAGATGCTGATAAGAATAAATATTTAGAAATTGAATATATTGAATATTGAAATTTGGAATTGACTGACATGGACATTTTAGATACTTGATAATTT